ACGGTCGGGGGCGGCATTAAAATCGCCAGCTAGGATTACAAGCACGCCGGTGGGGATCTGTTGGCGAAGGTTTTCAAAAAAATCACGTCTGTCTCTTTCCTGGTTTGGTGCGTATACGCAGATAATACAAATTAATTCAAATTTCAGCATCGCAAGTATGGAAACCCACCTTCCCCTTTGTTGATTTGCCACCCAATGAACTAGTGTTTCCCTCGAAGTCGGCGGTATCCATATGGCCACACCCACACTGCCTGGTCTTGGTGCATGGGCTCTAAAGGACTGATCTGGCCATACCATGTGGTGTGCCTGGTCGTGGTCTGGAGTATCCTGTACCACGTCCGGCCATTCTTTGCCAGAGACCCCCTTAATCAATTCCAAGATTGCCTGCCTTTTGTTAGTCGTGGCCGTCGCCAGGCCGTTAACGTTTAGTGTACAAATGTCCAAGTCTGCCGCCCACAGACCTTTACTCCAAGTCGGGTCTTTTCCGTACAACAATCTCATGTGGTCCATCCTGAGTGTTTTTCCTTGTTCCCTATAGTCTCTGCCATATCGTGGAGTCCATATCAGACATGTTGGTGAGCAGCGAACTTTTAAGGATCCTGCACAAGCAGGCTTGTACCTCCTCCTCAATCCACATTGTTGGACTTTACTTTCAGACCTTGTAAGTCTAAGAGCGTTGCTTGTGAGAACCATTTCAGGCCGGCCTCCTTTGTCGGCTCCATGAGGATCAATACCTCCCATTTTGTCAGCATGGGGGAGGTGCGCATGAATTTACTTTGCGTGCCAGGTATTAAATATTTCTGGATATGCTGATTCAAATCATCCATTAAGAGGCTTTCACGCATCTTTGCGGGCATTAGCGAGACGAGGGGGTCAAAGCCCCTCACGAAGACTTTCCCGTATTTCGCATTCTCACGGGCAACGGGCAAGCCAAGTTCCCATCTGCCATCCTTCTTACGTATGGGGAGTAACAACAGGCTGTTCAACGTGGGTTGTTGTAGGTATCTCCCTGATGCTACGTGGTGTCTGAGCCTGCTACGTATGTCTAGCAGCTCCATGGTAGGGGGTTCCCCCACCGGGATTCGAACGGGGTCTAACAGTGGTTCCTTCTTGTTTGAGGTTGTCCCTATGTCCCCTCCTCCATCTTTCTCTTGTACATGTTGGGTGTTGTTGGCCCCCAAGCAGGGAGGTTTCCCTTCCTGTGCTTTCCGGGTCTAGCCGTTTGTCCCGCCATTGCTGCGTCATAATCGGTTTCCCATGCCTGATTGGGGGCAGGGAATCTTTGGTTTGCCCAGGCGTCATCCTCTTCCTCTTAGTACGTACCAGGGTCCATTCCACTCCTCCCTCCCCTTCCCCTCTGCTCTGATCCCTGGTCCCTTTCTCCCTTTCCTGACATCCCGTTGTCTTCTACTCCTTTAGTTTTGTGTCTAGGGTTTTGGGAGGGGCCCAGGAGTCGGGGGGACGTGTGTCCCACTTAGGTTCCCCTTGCTTTTCCCATTTCCTCTTGCTGTCAGCTTCTTCCAAGTAAGCCCACCCCTCATGGCCGGGGTCCACTGGGTGCCAGTGTGCTGTGTTAAACCACGAGTACTTGACCCATACATGGGCCGAGGGCCTTCCCCGTTAACGAGCCTCAGTTTTCGGGGCTCGGGGAAGGCCCGGCAGTGCAATGGAGGGGGAGGACGTGCGTGGGCCCACAAAAACAGGGCAAATGGACTGTAAGATGTCCTGGTGCTGTGCTATGTGGAAACGTTCGGAGGCTGAAGGTGGCGAGGGGGAAAAGAGAAGAAAAGAAACTGCAACACGAGAAGAAAAAAAAAAAGATCGCTGGTTTTTTTTTGTTTTTTTTTTTTGAAGAAGAAAACTGATTTTTCATGAGTGTCCACCAGCCCTGTAAGGTTAGCACTTTTTAGAATGTATCCGGCTGTACTTGTGGACACAGTGGATGAATCTGAGGGCTTGGTATCTCTTTTTCCCTTTGTTTTTTTTTTTTTTTTTTTGGAAGCAGTATCTCTGCTGTTTGTGTTTCTGCTCCCCGTGAGACACGGGGATCATTCAATGCTTGCCAACGGTTCCAAGTCCACAGCTTCACTGTGAGTCTGTGACATGGCACTTTCCATAATGTATCTGGTTGCACTTCGGTGCAGCAGCGGATGTATTTGAGGGCATTCACGTTCAGAGCTTGGTACCTCTTCTCCCCTTTTTTTTTTCTTTTTTTTTTCTTTTTTTTTTCTGTTTTTTTGGAAGTTGTATCACGGCTGTTTGTGCTTCTGCTCCCCGTGAGAGACGGGGAGCATTCAATGCGTGCCAACCCTTCCAATTCCAGGGCTTCACTTGACGTAGCACTTTCCAGAATGTATCTGGTTGCACTTCGCTGCAGCAGCGGATGTATCTGAGGGCAATCGCGTTCAGAGCTTGGTACCTTTTTTCCCCTTTGTTTTTTTTTTGGGGTTTTTTTTTCCTTTTCAAGATTCTCGGCTGTTTGTGATTCTGCTTCCCGCCAAAGGCGGGAAGCATTCAACGAGATCTTTCCAAATGGATCTGGGTGCATTTCTGCCCAGGCCATTTTCATGTACACGAGTGGAAACAAAAAAACTATAGCTGCTTTACATTCCAGCTTCTGGCAGCAGGTCCAGAATAAGGGCAGTACCTGTGGCAAGCATCAAATGTCCCATGTTGGTTCCTGCCCCCGGCAGGCTCGGCAAAAATCGGCGTGCAGGGCATATTCAGGCTCAGCTTCAATAGTTGGGCCAAGTACTGGTGGTTTAAATGAGTCCCTCTGTAAGCGACATGTTGCCCATACAGACTTGTGTGGGTGGGATGGGCATAATTCCTCCGTACTCAAGTGGGTCAGTCATCATCTTCGGTCGTTGTTCCTCCGGGCCAGGCTGTTTTGGGGGTAACCAGGGGTAGATCCTCACCTCTAATCGCTCACATCGCAGACTCTTCCAGCCATCAATCATTTGCTTATCGTTTTCATGCATAGACAGGACTGTGAAGGTGGTGGGGGAGAGAGGATCAATTAGAAAGGAATCCCTGACTGTCTTTCCGTCCCGCTTCAGGGCTTCGAAACGAAGCTTGATCCACCTCACTTTATCATCAGTGGATTTGTAGGCAGAATCATCGTAGAATACCCAGGTGTTTGCATGTCTGAGGTAAATATTATCCCTGATTCCCAATCTCTCTTTCAGATAGTTTCTCACCATCGTTTTCTTCCCCCCTTGATCGACCACTATTGTTTCTGGGCCGCAAAGGAGCTTGGTGAGGAAGAAGGCCCGTGCAGACGACACATTGTCCAGGGGGATATGCTATGTCGGGTGTTCCGAGGCACCAATCTCCCTTTGAATGACCAGTGATTTTCCCAGGAAAGGTCGTTTAATCTTATCTGTCCATGACCCATGTGTGTTCGTCCCTTTGCTGTGGTGGTTTGCCTGGTCCTTACCCCCTTGCTCTGAACACTACCCCCTTACTCTGAACACAGATCCATCTGTCTGGGTTGCCGCTATTGTATCACAGGGGTCGGTTCAACCTGCATCTTTTCCTTTGCGGTTTTTGCTCGCCCCCGGGCCGATGGCTTCCTTGGCCCTACAGCCACCTCCTTTCCCTGTTCCTTTTGGTCTGCTGATAGCCTGGGCCAGGCCTTCATTTCAGGCCCCCAGTGGGCACCCCCCTAGGTATAACTGCATTTGTTGGCAGTTCAACTCTTGGTGAGGGAGAGGGTTCCCCTGCGGGTCCCTTTATCCTTCCAGGGGCGCGATTCGAGAGATCTCAAAGGTGAGAGTTAATGATCTGTCTCATTGCGCCTCTGTAATATATCATGTACTCCAACCGCCGGTTATTCCCTTTTTTTCTTCTTTGGTCCAGGTTGTTACATCTTACAAAAAAAAAAAAAAAAAAAAAAACTTAGCGTGAGTGGATTCGCCTTCGGCTATTTGGTTTCCGAATATTAACGTATATGCGGTCAGATCCCCTCATCCAGCGTACAACCATATAGCATACTTGCGGCGCATCGACCCTGTGCGCTGCGCGGTGCGGTGTGCGGGCCCGAGGTGCGCGCGCATCGGCGCGCGCTGAGCACCCGGGTGCGCGGTGCGCTGGGGGGTGCGCGCTGGCGGGGCGCAGGTGCGCCGGGTGCGCACACCGTTTTTTTATTTTTTTATTTTAATTTGTCTTTGGGGACACACACACACACCCACACACACACATACACAGGCACACACACACGTACACAGTATTACACACACAGAGTGTCACACTCTCTCTCTCTCTCTCTCTCTCTCTCTCTCTCTCTCTCTCTCTCTCTCTCCGCAGGATTGTTTTTTTTTTTTCAATGTTTCGTTGGAGAACTTGGAGAACACACACACACACACAGTCACAAACTCTCTGCAGGAATTTTTTTATATATTTTTTTTTTTTTTAATTTCGTTGGAGAACACACACATACACACACACTCAAACACACACTGTGCAGGATTGCTTTTATTTTTTTTATGTTTTGTTGGAGAACACACACACACACACACACACACACACACACACACACACACACACACACACACATACACACACACACACACACACACACAACAAGATTCATACTCACACTCACACACACACATACACACACAACAAGATTCATGCTGGCGCTGTGCACAACATATCCACCCATAAAATGTCGTCGGGGGCAGCGATTGGAACTTAGTAACTCACCTAGNACACACACACACACACACACACACACACACAACAAGATTCATGCTGGCGCTGTGCACAACATATCCACCCATAAAATGTCGTCGGGGGCAGCGATTGGAACTTAGTAACTCACCTAGTTGAGCGATGTGCGTGCAATCAGAGAGGAAGCATGTCCGTTTTTCAAACACATGCAGAAACGAGAAACATCACAAGATTCAAGACCAAAAAGGGTCAGGCTCAATATCCCGAAAGCGGAGTTTGCAAAGTTTGTATTTTTAGGAGCACAAAAGCAGGCAAGGACACACTACCCTCAATATACTGCTTCGCTTATGTCTACTCGTCCTCCTCCCTCGACTGTTCTTTCCCGTGAGACTGCGCCTGCGACGGGTCCTCCTCCGACTCATCCCCGTCCGCCTCTCCACTATCGTCCGATTGCTGGGACATTTCCTCCTCCTCCTCTATGTTTTGCGGCGCACTGTCTTCGGACGATGATGATGAGGATGAAGAAGACTGTTTTTTCCGGCTAAGACACGGATTTTCTTCGTTGTCCTCGATCACCTCAGCCGTTCTCTTCCTCGCAGGCCTTCTTGCCTCGGCTGCTGCAGCCTTTACGGCCTCTGCACATGCTGCTGCTTTTGCAGCCTTCTTCACGGCCGAAAGTGGAGGCCGCCCTCTCTTCTTGTTCGGTGGTGCATCCTCCTCCGCAACCTTCCTCTTTCATTTCTGAACCGGTTGTTCTTCGACAACGTTCGTTGCCGTTGTCTTCTTCTTGCGTCGCCCTCGACCCGACACCTCCTCCCTCCCCTGCACCCAATCGTCGGTGTGACGCGCCTTCAATGCACGGTCACGAGTCACGACCCTCCAACGTATACACGAACCCAGGTTCGAGCTCTTCAACACCCAACTTCCTGCGCAACTCCCGCACTCGGTGCTTCCCGGGCTTCGTGTTTGCGTGCCATGTTTTCTCCAGCGAACCAAGTGCGACAATATCGTCTTCATCATCCGCAAAGCTCTCCTCCTCGTTGTTCTGTAGCCATGTGCGCCCTAGCAGGGCATCGTCGAATTCGTCCACACAGACCTCCGTTGCAGCAACATCGTCGGCTGTCCCTTTCCTAACCTATGCAGCCCATTGGTCATACCACTCATCGACTTCCATGCTCTTCCACGGAATGTGCACGTTTTCCCGTCCCCTCGCTCTCTCTGCGTCGATAATTGAATATTCCAATTGCTATACACCAGCTTGTTCAATCTCTCCGGCAACATCTTCGTGCGGCGTTGGCCGAAAATGAGCTGGTGCAAGCTCCAGTTTCGCTCGCACGCAGCCGACGAGCTCTCCTGCCCAAGGAGTTTGATCGCCTGTGGTTGGAGGAGGTCCAAGGACCCCCCGAACGCCTCCCACCATAGCGCCGGAGTCTTCGAACTCGCCTGATCCCTTGCGTTCTGTGACCCCAAAGTGCCCAATCCCTGCACCCACATGTCCACCTGTCTACTGATTTCTCCCTGCAGCAACTCCGGCGGCGCTCAAGAGTAAAGCCAGATGTTGAACCCCTCACGAATCTCCGTGTCTCACACGGTGTGCGTCCTGTACTTGGGGTCGAGGAAGGCGGTCGCGCAATGCAGCTCTGATGTCATGAACGCCCACCGGTCCATCAAAATCTTCTCCACATCCGTCTTTTCAGCCTCCGACAGGCAGTCCAATGTGCGCATTCTAGCCACAACTGCTTCCATGCCGAAATACACTTTGCTCATAGTTGCTCCTGGACCGTCCACCAAACGAAGGAGCTTGACAACTGGCTCCATCACCGCAATGGCCTTATCCACAGCCTTCCAGAAGCCATTTGTGTCCATGATGATGTGGGTGACGGTGTTGAATGCCGCCACCTGCTCCCCCCTCACCAACTTCTCCACCCATGCCGCATTGCAGACACAGAGCTCCAAAGGATTCCTCCCCGCCTTCGGCGACTGAAGCATCTCAAAGTTCGTCGCGAATCTTGTGACCGTCGAACGTTTGAGTTGCGCGCTCGCGATCCTGTTGTATATTACGCGGACCTTATCGACATTTGTGAAAAACTTGCCAACTTGATTGCCCTTATCCACGACCGCTTTCAGCCAGTCCATGCACTTGTACATGTCCTCCAGGGCCAGATCGAAGGCATGGGCTGTGCAACCCACACTAAAAATATCGGGGTACTTGGCCTCCACCATCTTTCCCGCTTTGGCGCAAACCCTTGCAATGTCCATCACAACACCGACAATGGACCCCTCACCGATCTCCTGGATCACCCCGTCCAACAACTTGAAGTACGCTTTCGAGTTCTTCTCCCTTCCCTCCATGCAGACCGACTTCCAAAACACAGTTCCGACCGGGGAAGACACCATGACGTTCAGCTGTGGTTTGTTCCTCCGGTCCGACCACCCGTCCATCTGGAGCATGCACCTTGTTCTCTCCCACCTCTTGACTAGTGACCGCTTGTCTTCCCCCACCAACTTATACTGTCCGTCCAACCTTTTTGTCCTCATCTCGTCCCTCTTGCAATGCCGCCAACTGGGATGGCACTTCTTCACAGCATCGATGAAGTCAAGGAAGTGGAAGTTGTCCACCATGCTGAATGGCCGATTTGTGCAAATCAGTCACCGATCCATCTTCCGACTCGTCTGCTCGTTCTGGGTGATGATATTGTCTGCCTCCTCGAGCAAAGTTTGCCTCACCGACCGTCCACCACTTCGAGGGGTAGGAGAGAAGCATGTCTCAGATCCTGCAGGCGATGGCGTCTCACCATCACTCGGCCTCTGTGTTGATGATGATGGAGGCACGAAACTACTGGAAGACGGTCCTGTGCTTGGACCACCACTTCCACCAATTGCACCTTTGAGCTGACTGGCCTGGTGCTTCCCCAGCCGGATGCCCTCGATTCTTATCACCCTCTCCTCCGCTGTCAATGCCCGAGTCACAAGCTCAATACTGATTTTTTGTCCTTCCTCCCCCTCCTCACATCCATTCCCATCCCCTGACCAGCTCACCTCTGCTACCCACCCTTCTCGATCTCCTCCCAACCATTCCCTAGAAAACTGCATTATCCTCTTAGCGATATCTTTTGGCCTGTGGAGGGTATCCAGGGTGAGTTTGACAGACTTACATCTGTATTTGAGTTTCATTTGTATGTGATGCTTAAACTGTTCGATCCTCTCCTCTCCCTCGACTCGAACCTGGTAAAAAACCAAAGCACAGCGTTGCTACCATAAAATCCACAGGACAATTCTTCTACCCAAGTGGAACATGTTCCAGGCAAACATGTCACCTTGGAGAAGTGGGTAGTGACCCGTGAGAATGGCATGTCATTCCCATGACACCGATGTCCAGGAACGATTTGTTGTCACACTCTATCCCACCATCTCCAGGTTAAAAGTGTTGTCGGGCATTGCCGAAAGATGTGTTCCATTGTTTTTGCTCTCTTCTTTGTTGGGAAGCCCGACAGACAGCGCGAACACTAAGGGAGGGCCCGACCTCGGGCCTGCTGTTCCAGGTGCGAGTGATCAATCAGCCAATCGTTTGTTGGTAAACAGCGATGCAGTATCTGCGATTGCAGGGACGTTATTTTGGCAGGTCTGCATTTGGTATCACTAAACCATCGAATTGGCGTGAGGAGTTGTCTTTCCACGTTGAGGTGTCTCTGCCATCTATCAATCATGACGTCCTTCAGGCACCGTTTGGTTCTGATCTTCCTGTAGGTTGCTTTCACTGAGAGGTCGGCCAACGTTGTTGAGCTTACCTATCCTGGTTTATGTCGTACGTCTTGGTTCCAGCACCACTCCAGTGAATCTATAGGTAAGTCTTGTACAGCCATCTCAGGCATGAACGCCTTTTTGTTATTCTCTTCCCCTATAATCCTAACTCTGTATAGGGTCGCCTTCGCTATCCATTGGAAGGGATCCCGACTTCCAACTAACTGCCCCCCTTCCTTTTCGTTATGCCATTCGACCAATGCTTCCTCCGATCGTACCAGGTGAACTAAGCCCACTGCTGCTGCAGTGGACCTTTGCGCAAGATGAGTCGCCATCCCACCGGAAGGGCTTCCGTGATCTCCTCCAATGCTGATTCTGTGTTATGGCAGTATCTCAGACTCTCCTTCATCTCCTCCGGGCCCTTCCAATCCTTCTTCTCAACGTCCCACAGGTCTCTCACCCGGGTTACCCCATTCTTCACCCATCCTTTCCATAGGGCTTCAGAGCTACAAAAGATCTGACTTTGACCGTTGGTGATCCAGCGGTTGCCAAAGAGGGGTTGTCTTGCCACCTCATCCCACCTGGTTGGGGGTGGACGGCACGGGGTTGGAAGTCTCCTCCAAGTTCTTAACAGGCGAGACCAGAAGTCATCCCTCCGCCCCTCCTCCCCCGGGGGGCGACGAGACACTCTCCAATAGCGGTCATCCAACCATTAAAGAGGATGGACTGTGGGGGGAGCCTCCGGGGCAAGTCGGGCGATCTGCTGAAGAGCTAGAGGCCGCCATACCAGCGGGTTTACAAAGATCAGCCTCACAATCCATTGTAGACTAAGGGTCTGGGATTGAGTAAGGGGGTCTAATATGCCGAGGCCCCCTTTTGTCTTAGGTTGGGTAATCGAGTCCCACGCGACTCGGCTGATGGCATAGGGGTTTTCACTGTCGCCTCTCCATAGGTAGGCTGCCACTTTTCTCTTCAGGGATTTCAAGGCACCCTCACTCAACGGCCAGAGAACAGACTTGTATCATAGGGATGTCGGGACTACATTGTTGATAACCAGCGCCCGTCTGAAGAGTGACGCAATCTGATGATTCCATTGAGAGAGATTGGTCAGGGCCGAGGCTGATATCCATTCATCGTTTTTCGGGGTCCTCCCTTCTGCAGACATCTTGACCCCTAAAACCCGGATTGGGGTCCCCTGGGGGACCCACATGACCTGCTGTCTCTCCGGGGGGCGGCCCCCTTGGTGATGGAGCCACTATCCTAACGTTTTTTGTCCCCAGTTTATAACCATATCAGAAAGGGTGCAGAACAGATCCATTAACCTCTGAATTTCCTCCATGTTCTTCTATGTGGCATCGACCATGACCGTGAGGTCATCTGCAAACAGGGAGCAAACCGGAATCGCATCCTCAAGGATGCCAGCTATCCGAATTCTCGCCAAATCTTTGCTCTGTCGGAGGTTGGCTGCTAGTGCTTCCATTATGGTGATAAAAAGGAAGGGGGCAATGGGGTCGCCCTGTCTCACTGAATGCTGCAACTTTATTTCTGGAGCCAGAGACCCATTAATCTGCACTCTCGTGGTTGCATTCTGATGAAGGATGCCTACCCACCTCCAGAAATCAATTCCGAAATTTAGTCTTTCTAGGCATCTATCCAAGAATATCCAGTCAACATGGTCATAGGCTTTTTTAAAGTCGATGAAGACGAAAGCTGCGTTGCTCTTGGATTGTTGCGCCAGGCTTATCATCTCATTGACCAGCAGTATGTTTTCTTGGATATTTATATTGCGGATGAACCTGGTCTGAGCCGGATGAGGTCGTCAATCACATCAATCATTCTGTTTGTCAATGCTTTCGACAACATCTTATAGACCACTGCCAAAACGATGATATGGCGATAGTTTTGGATATTCATCTTGTCTCTTTTTTTATGCAGTAAAGATAGCACCCCCTTCCCCGCCAATTCCCCCAAATCCCCTGATTCCCAAACCGCCTTATAGAATTGCATCAAGTCACCACTAAGGAGGAGCCACATGGTTTCCCAAAATTCTTTCGGGAACCCATCTAGGCCAGGGGTTTTCTCTTCCTCCATTTCCATGAGAGCCGTCCAGATTTCCTCCTTGGTGATGTGGCGGTCTAATCTGTCTTTCTGTGTAGGGGAGAGGTGGTTTTCCATAATATGCCGAGTTTTAATTTCTGTTAAGATCAGTAAGAAGCTGGGACGACACGGGCCGGTGCTGGAGCTTTGGCTCTGTGACCTCGGGGGAGCTTGAGGCTTGTGGAGTTATGCCGAGGGTGGAAGGCATAACCAGATCGTTCGACGAAGCGGACGCCGGGGTATTAAACCACCAGTACCTTGGCCTGCTATATTTTTTTTGGGCGGCCGTATACGCGCCGCGTCCTTCGGTGTAGTGTTGCAGGTTCGGACAGGAGGGCTTTGAGAGTCCCAATGGGCCCAACGATGACAGATGAGGACAAAAAGAAAATAGTGGAAAAAAAAAAAGGAAAACAAAAGAAGTGTCGACGTTCACCTCACATTCGAAATTGTTGGATGATAGCGCACACGCGCCGCCAAGTCACAGTAGTAGCGTCGAGCTACCTCACTGCCTGAATCTGGGCGCTTGATGAACGCTTCGCGGCGGTTGTGTCACCCTGCGGATCTGTGCGGAGTAGAGGCGTTGAGCTACCTCAACACCTGAATATGGACGCTTTTGCGGAGATGTGCAGAACGAGGTCCAATACAACATTTTCGCACATATCCGCAGAAGCATCCAGATTCAGGCATTGAGGTAGCTAACGGGTACGTACTGTGACTTGGCGGCCTGGAAAAAAAAAAAAAACGTAAAAAACATAAAGGGAAAAAACATATCACCACACTTTCGGCCGCCAAGTCACAGTAGTAGCGTCGAGCTACCTCAATGCCTGAATCTGGGCGCTTTTGCGGATCTGTGCGGAGAATGTGGACGCTTTTGCGGAGATGTGCAGAACGAGGTCCAATAGAACATTTTTGCACTTATCCGCAAAAGCGTCCAGATTCGGGCGTTGAGGTGGCAAACCGGTAGGTGCTGTGACTTGGCGGCCTGGCAGAAAAAATATATATATACATAAACGTAAAAAACGGCCGCGGGACAAAAACATATCACCACACTTTCCGCTGGCATGAAGAGACGTTGAACTGCCAGCACGGACGGGGGGGCACAACGTATCGCCACGAAGTTCGAAAAGAAAACAATAAAACGTTGGAAAAGAAAACAAGGAAAAAAAAAACAAACAAAAAGTCGTCGGCGTTGGAACTGGGTATCGACGGGACACTCAACTGCCACACCACGACTCAGGCTCGGCAGGACTTGGCGCGCAGGGAAAATAAAGGATCGTTCCTCAACAACCGGTAGGTACTGGTGGTTTAACCCTGTAACCTGTTCAGGGGCTTGCCGTTAAGGGTAGTGTCGAGGGAGGAAGGCACTTCCTGTTCGTCAGAACTAGGTTGGTCAAAACTGGGGAAGGTTGTGGTGCCCTGTTACCCTAGCATGAAGGGGGTGTGAGATCAAGTGAGTTCTGGTACGAGGACTGAAAGCCTGGACAGACTTCCCGTTTGTTGAGGGGGGGATTTTGGATAGTAGGCTGTTTCAGTTTTGACCCCCCGCTCATATAATTTTCTATGCCTTTCCAGATATTTTCAAAAAACAAAAAGACTTAGTTACTGTGGCTTGAGTAACCTAGCATTAGGTCGGTAGGTCAGCAGTTATCCATGGTTTTCTTAAAAACTCTTCTGAATTTCTTTCGTAGTTCTCAGATTGTTCTTATT